TTAGTAATATAAGGGTTTGAACCTTGTTTATCATATATATATATATATATATATATATGATAAACAAGTGATAAATGACAATCTTCTGAACAAGTATTCATATATAAAATATGTCTTATGTTATATCAATATGTCATGTAATATTAACTGCTCGAGTATGTTACAGAGATAATTCAATTTAGAATCAAATCATAAAAAAATTCTTTAGTTTCCATGTAAAACTGAAAGAAAGAATATACAATTAAACTGATCGATATTGATATATACATCTTAATGATTAAAATCACCGTAAAGCTCTTTATGATCACATTAAATTATCATAGAGAAAAAATTTTAATTCATTTTGCGCGCTTTGAAGTTGAAGTAGGATGTAGCACGTTATTTTTTCTATATCAATAATTATTCTAACAAAGAAAAATTGCGAGCGTCACCGATGTGAGTTTATATTCACAATTACAAACAATATAATGTACGTCATTCAATCATAATCTAATAGAACAAAAAAGATTTATAGATTTGTAAAGACTTTTCTCAGGTTTTGCTCTATTTTTGCTTTTAATGAAAAAAAATTCTTCCTAGATTATATTATTACTCGAGTAATGCGAGGACATGTATATATCTTATAGTTAGATAAATTGGCTGCATTGATGGAGCAAGATGCCATATAAATACAAATATTTGTACATAAACGCTACGCGATTGGTCCAATCGTAATTAAACCAATGACACACATATATTTCTCTTTATACTTTTAGTATTCTCTATATAAATTAGATATCATATATGTTGTTGCACATCTTCTCACTTAATAATTAGGACATCTTGTGTGTGAGATTTTCCTTTATATATTTATTTCTTTCTTTTTTCCTTTCAATATTATTATTCATAAAAAACATTTTTTAACTACATTTAGGCAATATTTTGCATATTTATACATAATGAAAAATATAAATAAAGAAAAAAAAGAACGTCTTTTTCTTTACAAATTAAATAAATACAAGCAATTGGACGTTCTAACATTAATATAGCAAATTCTGGGCATATAATTTTTAAATATCACCTTTGGAAGGGAAGCACAATTTTTTCTAACTCAGAAATTTTTACAAACGTGCGAGATTCAATGCGCAAAATTTATATTATAGAGAAGATTTTACGAGTAGAGCTACACTTGTATCTCGCTAAAATCGTTTCAGAGATAGATTTAGATATATAGGAGATTTAGATATATAGCTCATTTTCTTATATATAACATTCTGTAAAATTCTTTCATTCTTGCGATTTATATACAAGAATTTTTGTAATTGGCTTTATATTACTTTCACTACTTGTTCGTTTCTTGTTTACCCACAATAACTCTGAGACGATCCTAATATAGAGAGGCTTCGTCTGCGGATATGACCGGTTCCTCATCGCTCCAGTCGCTGATTGCTAATCCTATTGATCCATGAAAACTTTGTGATCTTGCTACATGGCTAAAATCAAATATAAATATATGTAACATATATGTATAATATATACATTGAATTATGGGTAAATAAAAAAAAACGCAAACATCTCACATTTTATTTACATATTATCTTATCAAAAGAAAAGAAGCTTTATTAATGCGTGTTTATATCGTACAATCGTTCATCATAGCTGAAATTGGCTATTTGATCACATTTCAATATTAGATAAACAAAAATGATTAAATAGCTATATATTTACAGTCAATTATAACATTTCTTCGATTATCTGTTATGTGATTATGGCATTATAATTGGTAAAATACCAAATGGATAAAAAAAAAGAATGTAAATGCAACATTAAAATAGATGAACTAATGCAGAATTAGGGCACACATAGTATTTTTTTTTCGTCACTTTGGAAATCTCAATTTGAGGAAAACTCTAAGTCAGTGCAATACAAAAAACAAGCATTTGTGTCAGTAAAAAATGTTTCATATTTTTAAGAAGCAAAAGAGATATATATTTTGAAAAAAAAAAAAAAGAGAATATATATATATATATATATATATATTTTATATAAATACTTTACTGCACACACAAAACAAATACAAAGTAGAATTAGAAACCATGGAAGCGACGAGGGTGTATCATATTTAGCTATGAATATATGTATTGTAATTAACATGGAATTTATAGATATTTTAATTATTCTTAATAATAATTATTATTATATTTTAATATTGCACATATTTCTGTTGTGTTTTGTGGTAACATCATAAATTGTAATTTTGGTTAACAAGATATTTAAAAACAAAATAAGAAATTGTTTCAAAAGCGAACAACATATAGTTTTTGATTTGTAACTTGGCAATTATTAGTAAACTAACATGTCAAGTATTATATAAAGTATTAGAAAGTCCTTGGTATAAGGGTGACTTTTTTGACAATTCTAATCAAAAGATCTTTCGTGTCGCTTATACAGTTGCCATACACTGGCACAGAGGTGAAGGTGTTTCCATTATGGGCTGCTGTGGGCATCGCTATTTTACTTGCACAGAGCAGCATATCCGTCATTCTCGCCGGTGGTGTCGGAAAAAATGGCTCCACCGTCGCAGTAAGTCAGCTGAAAAAGTAGTGGGATCACATTGTGTAGTGCACTTTTTTTTCGTTTAGTATGTGATTTAGGCCCATTTAAATTAATAATGTATTTTACATATATATTATATTCCTTAGTATGAGACAAATTGTATGATTTGAAAATAATAGTAGAATTTCATTCTTGTAGATGTGTATCATGATGGGCCTAAATCTAACAGCGTCGTATAAAATTATTCATCATATTATTATATTTTCACACTTATGTTGATATTTGTTATACCACACTTCTTCCTCACAGAGAAATCTCATATACATTCCTATCTATTGCTTCCTCCATTATATTTTGCAGTTATATCGTAATATATGAATCTAATTTTATTGTTTTTCCAAGTTTTTCACGCCAAATTCTCTTGCATGCATGTTACAAAGCTGTAGAAAAAAATAGATATAAAAAAGCTGATAATGAAAAGTGCTATGTATCGCTTATGTGCTATTAAAATATTTATCCCATAGTATTTTAATATTGCGAGTTTTATTTTTAATGTATATTATATTGCATGTGTCAAATAAAGCTATATTTTATATTGTAATGATAATTAAAATTATGTTTTTCCTATAACAATATTTATACTTAATCCATTTTTTTCTAAATATTTATTTAGAATAATTTATCTATTGCACTAATTTGAGTAAATATTATATTAATTTCTACATATATTTTTTTTTTAGATTTAACATTGCTTAACACATTTTTCTTTATATATGCAATGTTTTTTCTCGTTGAATGCACACACAACAGTAGTATATTTGTGTTAATAATATTATAATTGTTTCTTGATTAATATATTTTTACATCAAATATACATTTAAGCAATGTATAAGAATATATATATCTTTCTTGATTAATACATTTTTACATTGAATATACATTTAAATAATGTATAAGATAATTTTAGTATGTATTTATATATATCATATAGGTGTAGATATCATATTATTATCAGCAGATATTAATTTTAAAGACATTTTTAATTAACAAATTTTTATTTAAGCTTATTTGATCAAAATATATACTTTTTCGTCGTTTTTTATAAATATAAAATAATCTCTGTATATAAATATAATACTTTTAAATTTTTCTGCATAAGATGAATTTTGTTTTAGGGAACATCTGTCTTATCACCAATTATACCATTTAGTTTCGTGATAGTACCAGCTTTTATAATATATAGAAAAAGCGCTGAGCATGTCTATGAAAATCATTCAGCCTTGTACATACTTGCGTTTGGGATGGTTGCGGCCAAAGTTACCAACAGATTAGTGGTACGTATGTATATATCAGTATTATATATCGATCGTTTGTAAGTATTCATATAAATATCGTGTCTCATATATCTTATTATTTTATCAGGTTGCTCATATGACCAAAAATGAGATGCAATATTTGGACAGTTCTCTGATCGGTCCAGCTATGCTGTTCCTCAATCAATATTTCAATTTTTTCATCAAGGAGTATTATGTTCTTTGGCTGTGTTTCGTAAGTTGCGCACTTCTTATATCTATTGACGATTCGATCCTACATGAGATTCAGATTTTCAAATAACTATATAATATGTTTAGATCTGGGTTACTCTGGATCTCTTTCGGTATAGTGCTCAAGTGTGTCTTGAAATATGTGATCACATGAAGATTAAGCTATTCAGGATACCATGCGACCATCATACAAGTACTACTCAGATTTCTAACGCCGCCGAGAAAAATGGTACTAATAGGTCACAACGTAACAGATTGCATAAGAAACATCACTAGAGTCAACTAGTGATAATGAATGCTCTGTATGATTCGTCTGACGCGCGTGTATTGTATAAAGAGATTGTATTGTAACAAAGTATAAACATTTGACAAGTTCCGTGTATATAGATATTCGAATAGTACAGTTCATTTATTATCACATTTAATTTATGATTTGTTGCGTTTCACAGACTAGTAAGAATAACATTTGCGATTAAAGTTTTGATCGAACTGATTAGAGCAATTATTATGAACTTTCAGTACAGTGTACTGTACATCAAAATAAGAAAATGTCTCTCGATCGTGTAATAAGAATAGCATCCGCTCCATATAAGATAAAAAAATTATATAATCTACTATGCAGGAAGAGAGATACGATGTACACATAAATAAGGATGGCTATATGAGGATGTTATAAAGTTTTTTTTTATATCAATAATTATTAATCGAAAATTTTTTAATATGATAATTTATCTGATTTCGATATATGTACCTTCTTCATTACTGTAGGATTCTTGTTATAGCATAATAGAAATTACGCATCAAATGCAAGATTAAAAATCAAAATGAGAAGACATTATTCATAAATAACTCTAGTCGATGGAAAATTAAGGTCAGATTGTTTTCTGAATGCTACATCAAATTAATATTTTTTTAATATAATGTAATAAGATTTATGAAATTCTTTTCATCATTTAATACAGTATTTAAACAATTTTATATAATGTGTTTTTAAAGATATCTTGATACATTTTTTACTTCAGTTTATCAAAGAACGCAATTAATACATTTGGGGATATAAATTTATTTGTATTTGTTAACAGAAGTTGTACAATATATCAAAAAAGAAAATTTTTTTCCCTTCGAGATATGTTTACCAAGTATAACGAATTGTATGAAGTTTTTTTCAAAATTTAGTCTGAAGTTCTTTTCAATATTTTGATAATGTGGAATGTGCGTCATGAACATTTTCTATTTCTGCTTTCATGCGTGTGTCTGTGTATTTGATAAAAAAAAACAATTTAAAAAGAAGATAGGATAAATTGAATTATGTGAGATACATCAGAATATACAAAGAGGCTAAAGACAGTTATAACTTTGCACTAGATACGTTTGTTTACTTCTATATTGTATGACAATAGATACAATTAAGACAAATATTTTATTAAAAGGTTCTTTATGTAAGTGTACACACACATTCTAAGACACGCGTATATATATATAATATATATTTTAAATATATTACGTATATACATATACACATTTTACACAAAATGTTACAAGCAAATGGCAGATACATGCTTAATTATTATTTGTATAATATATTACATATGTAATTTTATTAGAATAATATTTCCTCTTGTGCTAAATAATAAGTAATTAAATTTTTATAATACATTATTAAATTTATTAGATATACAAACTGCAAAAACTTGGTATATAATAGATATTCGGAATGTTCATATTCATAATTTTTCTATTGTACTATTCTTAAAGGAATGTTACTCTAGGAGGACATAATATAACAAAGGAAACCTTTCCTTATTGATAAAATATCTCAATTGCAATATAGTTTTTTTTTTTTTAGATACATTAAAATGTTCCTTCCATTTTTTTATTGTGATTTAACAAAATGCGCGGTCGAAAATAATTTTAAAATTATTTTCCATTTAAAAGCATTATATTATTGTTGTAAATGGATGAAGTAGAGCAGATAAATGATTAACTATAATTATATTTTTGTGAAGGCAGTACTATAAATGTTACGTTAAATGAAATGTAATTTTATCGAACTGAACTGTATTTCTCGAGTTTTGTTTGTTCATTGTATACATTATATATTCTGGATAAATGAATTTATACTATAATTATTTTTCATTCTAATTTAACCAGACTCGTTAAAAGTTTTTTTGGAAGAATCAGTTTATTGAAGTCGTACTCGACAAATCTAATGTTAATTGTATTGCATCATATTTAGAAAATTATGCTATTTAAAATAAATTTTTTAATTTATTTATGGAAATGCAACAATAGCAAAAAAATTTTACATATTGTGGTGCATATTCCACTTTAGAAAAAGAAAAAATTGGTAAAAATAAAAGAAACAAATATAAAATTATTATTATTCACAAAATATCACACGAAAAGTTAATGTGTGCATGTCTTCTGCTTTTCTGCTTCATCTAAAGTCGTTATTTGTGCAAAATTTGCTTAAGACGTAACATGAGAAGGTAATGTGATTATCATTGTGAGAGTCTATGTTGGGATAGATCGATTAAAATATAAATGTTTTTTTCTATATATTAAGAAAATGCATCACTGATATAAATATCTTATGTATATCAGTGTAATATTGCTATGTATTATGTGTATATTACGAACAGTGAACTGTTATCAGCTTTTTGCACGTTTTCAAATCGTTATTTGCATGTGCATTTATGTTTATTTCTAAAGGATTAACTTCAATTCATTTGTACATCCACAAGATGTAAGAATTAATAATGTGTATAGCATTACCTTTTACATTTAATAGATTATTAATCTTTTTTTAGTAAATTAAAACAAATTGCAAATCAAAAATTGATGTAATATAATTTTATCTTTGTGCAGTATTAATTTTAGTCGGTGTAAGATGAATAGTGTATGTGGCAATTACTTTAAATGTGACTATATAATGATAGTTATATTGCATGACAAAGTTTCTTTTTTCAGTTTTTCACAATCAGAAGAAATTTTATTCCTCTAGTATTACGAGTAAATTATAAATTATTTGTCTCGTGTAAATGTATGAAGAATTTTTGCATGGCTTTTTTATTTATGTAGCATATTATAAGTCAGAATTATTTTTTGCATGTTTTTCTGCCTGCTGCTTGGATTTTGTCTTCAAGTTATTGCGAGAACGATATATGAAAAATGCCAGAAATGATGTATATTATTGATACAGTAGAGTGCTATATACATGTTTTTCGCAAAGAAATTGAACATTTGATTAGATGAACGTATCTGGGATTGAGAAATATAGAAGCGCTTAAGAGAAGAAAGGAATTTATGTTCTCCGATTTAATGTGGCATTTAAATGTTCCTTTTTTATCTTCATTATTGCATATTTTTCGCAAGAAACAAACTAATTACTCCTTTGTCGTCATTTATGCAAATTATTTAAATCTTTGAAGATGCGAAAATAGTTTTGTAGTTTTATCACGAAACGTAAAAAATGGAGAACGTGAATCTCATTTCTATACTCTTCAATTTTGTTGTATGTGAATTCTCAAGTGAGTCAAATTTGAATATCTGTCAAAACATGCTGTCAAAGATATTAAGTATAGAGAGCATTAGGATATATGTGTCGTATGTTTGTATTCGTTGGTATGCATGACAAGTTTTGTTCACAGTTCACATGATGGTGGAGGAAGAGCCGCTATTAGACGAGGAACATCATTACGGATCTGATACGACCGTCGACCTCTGATATTAGCGATAATAATATTGTTAATCAGCTCTACATTCTACGTTCTACGATTTAAAACGCAATAACATCCGATTGATTGTAATAGGCAGAATAATAAGGCGTCATGTTAATTATCGTCGCGCTAGATTATCGTCTGATAATGTTACAAACGATAATTGCGGGAATACACGTGGCGAAACACGAGGAATAATTTATGTATCTTGTCTTACGAATACACGAGATATATCTTGCATACGTGTGCTTGCGTATAAAAGAAAAAAGAGATATCTCTCGCATCTTTTTTATGACGCAATATTATGTACATTATTTCAATAATGCGGACGAATATATATATACATATGCAGAGATCGTAATGAAATTTTTGACGGAAACAGTACAAAAGTGTTAGCAATACAATTGAGTCAATGATAATGATACGTTCCGACGTGTTTGTAACAATTGTACCGAGCTGCATTTACGAGTAAAATCATTTTTTTTTTTTATTATATTTGTACTTGCTCTACGGTATTACTTAAAGGATATTACTTAAACAGTTGTATAGGAACGAAAAGATAATTTAGCGCTTTCAAATAGATGCAATCTTTAAAATAGCGAATTTGAAGGTATTTGTAAGAATACTATACTTGTATTGTGACGGAAATGTATGAATGAATTGTCGCGCTGATAGTTCGTTAAAAAAAAGAGATCTTTTGAATTTTTGAGATAAAATATTGATACATTTAACTTGTTAGATGAATTAATAAATATCAAAATTAAGTCTGATGAAATGTAGAATATAAGATTAGATTAGATGGAAATAGTATTTTGACTAAATATTAAAACAATATTTGATCTAGTGGTTCGTCGTTTTAATATGATCGCTCGTAATGCAGGATTAATTTTCTTTTAGGCAGCGATGTAGAGAAATAGAACTATATAGTTATAGAACTATATAGTTGGAAAATCAGAAATATATTTTATACAGAAATAGAATGATATACATAAGGAAAGGTAACTCTCTCCGAAAGTTTGCAGGAGAATGTTGAATATACCTGTATGTATAAGCTAGTAAACGAACACTACAGTATTATGAATGTTAATTATAGTTTTTGAATTTTTTGATGAATCTTTATATATAGAGATATATATCTATCTCGATTTTATTATTTGTGTGAAAATTTTGTTTTTAACCAAAAATTAAATCTAACGAACGAATTAGATCTTTACTTATTTCTCATTAATGTTTAAGGAAGATAATTATCCTTTATCGGGCAAATAATGAAATATTTGCGATCTAATCTGTGGTGTTCGCACAGCGTAAGATAATTTGCTATCATGCTGTATATATATACAGATACTAAGATATTTTTATCTTAACGCAATCGTAATTTATTATTCATACTCTATTTAATAAAATTTATACGAACGTAATAACTAATTTTCTTTTATAGATTTTCCTAAAAAGATATCCCAAGTTTGTGTGAAGAGGAAGCGGAAGAATAGAATATATTAATTTCTAACTATTTTCTAGTATTATTTTTCTCGAAAAATTTTAAGTCTCGTATAGAAAAAACATTGTATTCCTTCCGATGCGTGTATTTTTAATCTCTCTTTTAATATCAAGCATGTTACATCGAATGATATATTTGAATATATTAAAACGGAGTCATCAATATAAATATATGTCTACTAATTGTCGCGGTAGAAATAAGCGGACTCTTATTATTCATCCGCGTTATTTGCATAAGCTGCGCGTTTCGAAACGCCACCAACCCCCGTCGTCTACGACCCCCCATGAAAGAATTTCCACGTGGAGCATTTTGGACACAACCGAAAACAAACGTCGAAGACGGCACCCTTGTCCTTCATCCTGCCTTCGGTCCGTCGCTTTTACGTATCGTCGGACTCGACCTAGTCGACCTAGACGCCCGCAAGCGGCCCCGTTCCCATCCCCGCCTGTCTTCCTCCACGCACCCCCAGACATTCAGCTGAACCTGACGGGGCGTTATTGATCCGGCTGGTGACGCTGCGCGAATACGCCAACCGGGCCAAGGGACGTACTTCTGGATATGCAGGACCGAATTAAGAAGCTTTAAGTTTTTAAGCTCTTATTAATTGAAGAGATTCAAAGCGATACTGAAAAAAAAATGGAAACTACGCGTTTCCCAACTCGTTATGGAGTTTGCCATAGTCTTCTGGGATAAGTGTAATTTAAATTTTTTCTTTCATTTTTTATCGGATGGATTGGATTTAACATGAATTTAAGAGATGACTTTTGGGACTAAGCTCGAGGAAAGAACTAAAAAATCACCTGTCGATGATTTAGAAATCTTGTTGATCAAATATCATTCTATTAAAATATCAAGTAGAAAGATGATATGAAATATTAGCTAGCGATATATAAGAAATACGAGAAATGATGATTTGTCGACTTTATTTGATCTTATTGGATTGAATTGAGATAGAATGTTCCTGCAATAAAAATATCATGAATTATGAAAAATGAGATTATATTTCTATTCTCTTGTAAAGTATATAATAAACTTAAATTATTTTATTTATAATTAGTCCTGCAACGAGTAATTTTTTAATTTTTTCTTTTATTTAAATATAAAAACTAAGAATGCATTATGTAAACTAAAATCATGTGATGAAATTATATTTTTAAAATCCTTGGTATCACCAACAAATTATTAGCCACATTCTTTATATCTTTTATATGAAAAAAAAAAGATCAGTATACAATTTAAAATATATACAAAAGAATAGATACGATCCACATTTTTCTTCATTTTATAAAAAGAGAAATATACGGTCTGCATATCATACATTCTATATATTTTATATGAAAAAATCAATATGGTCTAATATAGTCTATATATATGTAGAAAAGAGTTCAAGGCAATTCAGAGCTGAAAGCGCTGGCTTGGAGCCAACATGCCCTGTTCATTAATCAGCCACGCTTCGACGGGCTCAGGTGACGAAACGTCAGAGGATATGCGACGATAGTGCGTCCCAATGGAAAAAGCGGAAGAAAAGAAGAAAAAACAAGGAGAACGGAGCGGGACGTTCAGCGCCGTTACTGGAGGCCCGAGACGTCTGCGCCTGCTTAGCGAACGATCGACGACGGCGCCGACGTCGGGACGGCTGCGGGATCTCCGGGGCGCGTCGACCAGTATGATAGTGTGATATCGCCATTCGGCTGATGCGGGCGGAACATCGTTGTCGGCCTGTCATTTGCATGGCGATCGGACGAGGACGTGCGGTCATTTTTTCACGTTAACGTGCACCATAAAATGTAAGTGGAAGAGAAAACGTTCTTTATCGCCGCGATTTGCGGACGGGAAATTATTTCCCGATAGATAGAATGCAACAGAGGTCAATCTAACGCGAAGCAATCGTAGGTTTTTTTTTTCGTCCACGAGTTTTTAACACGTTTTTATTTATTTATTTATTTTTTTATTCGAAATTGATCGAAATTTGGATGCGCGAGTCGCAATTTCTCGAAGAGGTTTCCCGGGTAAAAATATTAAGTAAGAAAGGTAAAACTAGCTCCTGATAGAGCTCGTTCGTAGTTTGGGATCGATGCGGCGTCGTGTGCGTTCTTCGCTAATTTTCCGCAAATAATTAATTAAATTTTATCGCGCGCAAGTGATTGAGTTAAGTTCCTCAAAACGATCGATGTGTGCTATTTGCTCTCTGGATTGCGAGGTGAGAAATTATCTGCCATTAGCGTATAATCGCGCTATTAAAAGTCGCTTTTCTTGCTTTTTCGAAGATTAAAGCAAATTTTCTCCAAATTAATTAATCGAAATTTCTCTGCGTAGATTGCGATTTTAAAATTATTAACATCGATGTGTACTCCGAGTCGATATTACGATCGAATTCATTTCGGAGTAGCAGCTTAACAAGGTCAATACTATCGTGTGTGCCTTATCAAAACAGGTTGGCCGCAGATGGTACTATTTAATATCGCAGCTGAGTACAACTTTCCGACCTCCTGGAGAAAATAATTCCGGATGTTATTATTCAGTGTCTTCGCATTGTCTCTCGATAATTTCAGTTGTACTTCAGAAACGTGGATCGAGTAATTGTAATTGAAATGCGTTCGAAAAGTTGCAAAATTTTGCGAAATGTTTGTGAATTGTTCTCAATGGATTTTTTAATTTAATTACTCTGAGATTTTCTTCCTAATCGATTTTATAATGAATTTTATTGTCGTATTTAAGACATTTCTTCTGCTTTATCTCTTTTCAATATATCGATTTCTTTTATAGAATCTTCCATCTTTCATAATCTTTCAGATTAATGTGTAAAAGCTCGTAATCCACTTTTAATCATGAGATTAGAAACCTTGTTAATGCTACACATATATATCGATTTCAAGTGTCGCGAATAAATTTATATACACATGAAAATACATGAATGTCTCTTTGAAATTGGAAAATTTAGTGTCACCATGCGATCTGAACTTTAAAATTGACTTCCTCAAATTCTTCTTTGGTGCATCATTCTAAAATTGAAAGATTTATTGCTATAATAATATAGTACACTTTTAGGAACTTGAGAAGTGATTTTTAAACGTATATAATTTTCTCAACTCTTTTAAGTGTCGCTCTTGAACCTTTGAATTTCTCGAGTTTCTCTCCTATAAAGAAAAGAATTAATCCACTGTCACATTGAATTCTCAAATCGATTGCCTCTCATTCACCAAGGTAAATAGCGCAGAAAAATGTTTAAAGAACGAGAAAAACTGAAAAGAATCTAAACATCTCTAGCGAACTTTTCAGTCAAATGCGATTCAGTCCTTGATATACTTGAGAGACCGAAATGTTCTTAAAAGACTTTGCGTTGTCAAAGACTCTATTAACGTCGAGTCCGCATACTGTTCCTGCCGTTAATCGTCTGTCGTGCGACTGTACGATGTAATCATACGGAAGTACGTGGCCTCGTGTCCACACATGACGTTTGCTTTCTCGCGTTATGCTACGGCGCGAAATACGAGAAGGAGCTCAATATCGCGAGGGAATTAAACGGGGCACCGGCCGCCGCGCGCATGCAATACCCGCTCTCTTTCTCGACACGGTGACACAGATATCCTTTTGGGTCTTCGGAATCATCGATCTCGGAGTTCTCGTTCTGACTGGTTCCTACCGGCCCTTTATCGTCGCTCTGCGTAATTTCCGCTTCTCTCATTTGCTTCGATAAAGTTTGCTTTGTTAAGAAATTTAACTTATTAATGTGTGTCCCACAATTCTGAAATAAACGTGCTAATGTAATTATATTTTTTAATTAATCTTGATCATATTATAAGAAAATTTTGTATAAGATATATGGAGTTTTTAAAATTTTGTATAAAAATAGAAATAATGATCACACCGGCAAGACATTTTCCTAAGAAATTATTGTCACTTTAATCAAGAGGCCTGCCATTGAAGATAATGACTATATGAGATAAAAAAGTAGGATATCTCTGATAAATGAATAAATTGAATTTATCTGATAAATTGAATAAATTAAATTTGCTTGTCCGCGGGGTTAGCGAAAGTCTAATTACTCGGAAATGTTCAGCAAATAAGAGAGGGCGTAAGTTAACTGCGCAAATCCTTGATTTATTTATTTGTAGGTGGAATAAATAAGCGAGATAATGGTGCAATCATGATTCAAATTGAAAACGATCCTGAAGAAAGTTCAGCGGCTCGGCTGTCCTATATACACTGTGTACAGCGGTGACACAGCTGTACATACATAGATCACGATCATGGATATACAGAAGAAGTTCCTGTGCCCCCGTTTGGTGGATTATCTCGCCATTGTGGGGGCCAGAACGCCTGCTGCCTCTCGTCAGCCCGTACAGGTACAATAATACTTAGGAATAAGCCCATTTGCAAAATTTTATATCTACAAAAAATCTCAATGAATGTATAAAGTTTACAATAAATCTATATATCTATTTTCTTAAAGAATCAGAATGTAAAAAAAAAGAATTTAATTAAAATAAATAAAAGAAAAAGATAATATATAATAATCTTACTGTTTGATAGGTCCCGGAATTGCTACGCAGATATCCGGTGGAGGATCACAAGGATTTTCCTCTTCCTCTGGATATGGTTTATTTCTGTCAACCGGAAGGTTGCAGTAGCGTGGGACCGAAACGCATGGCCTTACGAGAGGCGACATCCTTCACCTTCACCCTCACTGATAAAGATTCAGGTTCGGTATCTCTTTTATACATATACATATACATTGCACAAAATTGTTAAAATCTATAAATTGTAAAGATTATTTGGAAAAAAAATGCAGGAAGAACACGTTACGGAATCTGCGTGAATTTTTATCGACCTATGGAGAAGGCGGGGGTTGTGGCTGCCGGGGGAATTTCGCTCAAGAGGGAAAAATACAACACCACGTTTCGAAGGGAGAGCTGGAGA